ATTTATTTTTTATTTGTGAACATACTGTACAGAGGGGTTACAATTACATGGGCAGGATAATGCGTACATTTCTTACCAAGCATTGCAGCCTCCTCCTTTGGTTTACCCTTCACATCCCTTCCCAGCCTCCCCCCTCTGCCATTAGTTTTTGTTGATTCCACTGTGTGTATTTTGTTTCCCTAATTGTTGCTCTAGTTTTCTTACATTTTGCATTCATTGGTTAATGATGTTCTTCTTTCCACACCTAAAGGCAATGGACTTTTAAGAAAATAAGCTATAGTTCTACAATTTAGATCTGTCTTCTCTATAACCAACTGGGTTTTAAAGACTACGCCATTTATTTTAGGTTCTACCAGACTCACTAACGCGTCATCAGCACAAAGAACAGAAAGAGGAATAAGCGGAGTTTTATTTTTAAATTCCTGATTATAAATTAGAGTAAAAGGTAAAAATGAGTAAGATGAAAAATCTTACTTAAAAATATCTTAAAAACTAGGGCTGGGAAGGTGGCTCAGTGGTAGAGCTCTTGCCTTGCATGCACGAGGCCCTGGGTTCGATTCCTCAGTACCACATAAGCAAAAAGAAAAAAAGCCCAAAGTGGTGCTATGGCTCAGGTGGTAGAGTGCTAGCCTTGAGCTGAAGAGCAGAGGGACAGTGCCCAGGCCCAGAGTTCAGGTACCACGACTGGACAAAAAAAAAAAAATCCTTAAAAACTCACCTGCTGGGTGCCAGTGGCTCAGACCTGTAATCCTAGCTACCCTGTAGACTGAGATCTGAGGGTCACGTTCAAAGTCAGAGTGGGTAAGAAAGTCCGTGAGACTCTTATCTCCAGCTAACCACCAGAAAACTGGAAGTGGCACTGTGGCTCAAGTGGTAGAGTACCTGCCTTGAGCTGAAGAGCTCAGGGACATCGTCCAGGCCCAGAGTTCAAGCTACACAATCGCTGGAAAAAACAAACAAACAAAAAAACTCACCTTCTTCATTCTGAATTTTTCCCATTTGTTCTTCAAGAGTTTTGTAGTCAAAATGGAATGCTTCTAATACTATTACTAGCAAACTGTTAAAAACAAAAAAAAATACAGAGAAATTTTTATTTGAATATCAGTATCATTTAACTAGTAAAAGAAGAGTAAACTAGACACAAATATTAAAATTATTTTTAGCAGCATTTTGAACAAGCATTTCCATAAATGTTTAATACAATGTAAAAATATGCTAAGATGTCAGACAGATCAATTGACGAAATCATTTTATGGTTACATTTTAAAAACAAAAGTAAGTCTGACCATACCTGACACCCAACTTTTGATTGATTTGCCCTGTCTGTAGGACATGAATGAAATGTTTCAAGTAATATACATATGGTGGCCAAGAGAGATGTCTGCAAATAGCTCCAATAACCTCTGTGGCAGCAATTGTTATATTTTCATGCTGTAAAATAAACACACCAAGAGAAGTGATGCATAAGAAATACCTAGCACCACATGAAAGCTATAGTTTTATTTCATTTCTTATGAACCATTAAGGAGAATAATAACTGCTGATAAATGGAGTTGATCAGAATTAAGTCCTAGAATATAAAAATAAAAGTATTATTTTAGTAACATGAGAATTTCTAGGCGGGAGAATATTTTGTGGCTGATCCCTCTGTGTTAAAATAATAAGAACACAAGAAATAGCCACTATTAGAGACAGAGTATTTACTATTTGCCAGGGGTACTTCAAATGGCTCTAGAACTCTCCTATTTTTTCTTTTGCCAGTCCCGAGGCTTGAACTCAGGTACTAGGCACTGTCCCTGAGCTTCTTTTGCTCACGGTTAGCACTCTATCACTTGAGCCATATAGCACGACTTTTGGCTTTTTTTGTTTATGTGGTACTGAGGAATTAAACCCAGGGCTTCATGCATTAGCTAGGCAAGTACTCTACCACTAAGCCACCTTCCCAGCCCTCTCCTATTCTTTTAATTATGATGATGATATCAATATGGATATCACCAACTCAATCTATATTTTGAGTAGAGGCTTACTATTTTCTAGATCTAATACCTTACCTTGAGCATCTTCTCATTAAAAATTGGAGTCATGGCAAAAGGCATGATATAATTCTGAAGAGACTTAGAAGAAAGCACAACTTGGCCTTCTAGGAGCTGTTTGGCCAGTTTCTTCAAGGCCCTTGCTCTTCTGTGGATCTATAAGTCAGATATTAAGATGCATCTGAGTTGAATGGTCTCATCACAGTCACTCCCCACATGTTCTTTGTCCATGGAAAGTTTAAAGGAGTGGCACACAGGCCAGGTGTTACAGGGTAAACAAGCCTGCCTTCATCATTTCCAGAAACACAATTCATAGCATTTGTTTAATGATAAATTCCAAACCACTTAAGCTTCTTAGAGAAATAGAGAAAAGTGACAATATTCTTATTGGTGGTATGTGATATAACCAAAAGAATCATACTGTAGGAAATGATCTTCATACACGTAAATTTGGCTGATGATCAGGGGGATTAAGGAACAAGAGTAAACCTTTTAAGAGAAAGTGCATATTTATAAATGAGACATAATTGTTTGAAATACTTGTTTTGAACATGAGAAAAAGTAGAATAGTCTTCTACCTGAATATGCTTCATGTTCTCAAAGAAGTCCATTTCTGGATCATGACAGTGAGTAAGTTGTACCAAGTCTTTAAATTCCAGTTGATTTGGAAAAGTTTGAATTAAACAGGAAAGTATCATGGTATAATCCTGTTGAATACTCTGCAAATGTCAAGTTGAGAAAAAAAAAATGTGTTTTAAAAAGGATTGGTTTCCTAAATAATATATGAAACAATAAAAGCCATTACAAATTAACATTTTCATTATAAAAAAATAAACAGCTACATAAAGTCAAAAGTGGATATTCTCTTTTCTATCACTTTGGTGACCATTTACACAAAACAGTATTTTAATTATTTAACTTACTTATGTAATTATTTTACTGGGACTTGAACTCAAGGCACAGAGGCTATCCCTGAGCTTCCCTGCTCAAGGCTACCAGTTGAGCCACAGCTCCACTTTTGGATTTTTGATGGTTAATTGGAGGTAAGAGTCTCACAGACTTTCCTGCCTGAGCTGGCTTCAAGATCCTCAGATCTCAGCCTCCTGAATAGCTAGGATTATAGACACAAGGCTACAATCAAATATTTTAGTTCAATATATTAAACCTAGCAGGATGGAAAAAAACAAATGAAACCACGAAAGATTAAAGTTGTAATACCTCTGTCTGACTCTTCAACCCTTTCCTCAGTTTCTCCAGGAGGGATCGGTGAATGATTTCTCTGTATTCTTTCTCTGTGACATTCAAGGCAGCTAGTTTTTTGATGATACTCATCAAGCACATGCTGGCATTATCACTTAAAGACATATCTCCTAACTGAAAATAAGAAACAGAATCAAGACATACTGTGTAATAACTACATAAAATATGGAATATTTCCCAAGAAAGTAAAATTTTATCAGTGCTCTGTGAAAAATCCCTATTAGAAAGGGCCCATGAATCCCCGAATACTGCCTATTTTATGAAGAATCAGACGCAAGGGCAGGAGGAAAGAAATTATTTTCAAATATCATGCTTATGGAGGAAGTGGCGCTGTAGCTCAAGTGGTAGAGGGCTCGCTTTGAGCTGAAGAGCTGAGGGACAGCGCTCAGGCCCAGAGTTCAAGCCCCACGACTGACAAAAAATAAAAATAAAAAACAAAAAAAAAACAAGTATCATGCTTATGGAGAACTATCGCTTAATTTCACAAAGTATTTTGAAGCATTGTTTTAATTTGGCTTTACTCCACAAAGTAAGCAGAATGAGAGGTTCATTAAAGTCACAGGTCATAGTGGAAAAGACAAAGCTGGTGGAGTGTTTCAGTTTAAGGGACAGACCGTGAGCACAGAGAACATACTCCCAACATATCAACTAGGCAGTGACTTAGAATTCTTGTGTTGAAATTTAACATATGAAAATGAGTCATAAATGAGGATTTTTTTTTGGGGGGGGGTCTATCATTGGGGTTTGAACTCATGTCCTGGTCTTTGTCCCTGAACTCTTTTGCTCAAGGCTATTGCTCTACCACTTTGAGCCACAGTGCCACTTTAGATTTTTCTGGTGGTTAATTGGAGCTAAGAATCTTGTGGATTTCCTGCCCAGACTGGCTTTTGAACCAGCCTTTGATCCTCAGATCTCAGCCTCCTAAATAGCTATAGGATTACAGGCATGAGCCACAGGCACCCAGCTACTGTATCTTTTTTTTTTTTTTGTCGGTCCTGGGGCTTGAACTCTGGGGCTTGGGCCCTGCACTCTTCAGCTCAAGGCAAGCACTCTACCGCTTGAGCCACAGCACCACTTCCAGTTTTCTAGTGGTTTATTGAAGATAAGTGTCTCATGGACTTTTCTGCCCTGGCTGGCTTTGAACCATGATTCTTAGATCTCAGCCTTCTGAGTAGCTAGGATTACAGGTAGCCACTGCCTCCCAGCTTTGTATAATTCTTTTTTTTTTTTGGGGTCCAGTCGTGGGGCCTGAATTCTGGGCTTGCGCGCTGTCCCTCAGCTCTGCTCAAGACTAGCGCTCTACCACGTGAGCCACAGCGCCACTTCCGGCTTTTTTTCTTATGTGGTGCTGAGGAATCGAACCCAGGGCCTCAGGCATGCAAGGCAATCACTCTACCACTGAGCCAACTTCCCAGCCCCTGTATAATTCTTAATACCAAATAGAATGCCACAAAGATGACTGATGATACTATTTGGTGAACAACAATTATGGGCTTAATTTACTCATTTTTGGATTTAATTGAATTGAGCAAATTTCATCAATTCTAAGTGGAAGCCACCATCCCATCTCCCTCAAACTTATTAAACATTAATTACTTTCTTTTCTGTCTGGCCTCAAACTCAGACTCTCCTGCTTTCACTGCATAGAAAGTAGAATTATGGGAATGTGCTATACTTGTTTATTGAAATGTCTGTCTTTCACATAATGAGTATAGAAATAAGCTAGCTCTTCTAGACTAAAAAATTTTAATCTAAAAGAAATTTTATCTTAAAAACATTTGTTCCCCCTCTCAATAATTAAATTAGGTAGATAGTTGTATTATCAAAGTAATAAAAAAATAAATTCTTGCCATTAAAACTTACCTCCATATTATAGAAACAATTATGCATAACTGGAATTAGGTAGTTAAAATCCACGGCTTGCATTTCCTTTATGTAAGAGGTAATTGTTTGGAATGCTGAGAAGCGAACATCAAAGTTGATATCATCAAGATGTCTTTGGTCAAAGGCATTAAGCTATAAGACATGATATTGAAATCACATAAATGAAGCATAGATCCTAAGTACAACACACTGATATTTTTTAAGCCAAGGAGAAATAAAGTTTCTTTCTTACCTTGACAATATCTGTAATATATTTCAGTCCACTTTCAAAATCAGAAAGACTCTAAAAGTGAAAAACATGTATTAGTGAGTTACACCTTCTTTTCCAAACTCTTCCCATCAGTTCCCTATACTCACTCAAGTTCATGTAAAATCATACGTACTTGTACAAAGAAGGCTACTCTAATGCTTTAGGTGTCATAATTATCTCTGAAAGAGTAATTTGAGGTGATGATACACATTCCCTACCTGGAAAACTGTACAGAGCAACTGTCTTGACAATTTGTTCTTAATAACTGAAAAGAGTTTGGCCAGAGGCTTGAGGAAGCTTGTAGGGTCTTGACAGTGTTGTAACAGGTTTTGCACCGTCACCAGAATATCAACCTCTGTATCCTGAAAGACAGTGATGAGAAATTATACTTCAGTACTTTACAAAACTGCTCAATTATTATATTGTTATACCACTGGAAGTAATTAGTTAAGGCTAAGACTGACTGAAACCCCTCATCCCCCAAAAGCTTCTAGATATTAACTAAAGATGAAAAGCACAATAATGTTTCTAATAGTTTCTTTCTTCAATGCTAAGAGCGTGAGTCAAATCCTAGGACTGGCAAAGAAAAAAAAAAATCTTAAGATTCTCAGGGACTTTTGTCCGGCTGGCTTTGAACCATGACCCTCAACCTAAGCCTCCTGCAAGAGCTAATGAAAATAAATAAATCCTTCTCATGACCCACAGATTTGTGGTCCTAAAATCTGAGTCACTCTGTATAGAAGATGCTTAGCAGTCTTCTGATGACTTATATACAAGTCTGAGCTACTGCAGGACTTTTATTTTGGGGGAGGGGGGGAGGTTGGTTGTGGGGCTTCAACTCTGGGCCTGGGCTCTGTCTCTGAGCTCTTCAGCTCAAGGCTAGCGCTCTACCACTTGAGCCACAGCTCCACTTTCTGGTGGGTTGTTGGAGCTAAAGAGTTTCATAGACTTTCCTGCCCAGGCTGGTTTTGATCCTCAGATCTCAGCCTCCTGAGTAGCTAGGATTACACAGGCATGAGCCACCAGCACCCAGCTGTAAGACTCTTAACTGGGACTAAAAATCCTATTAAGGACTCTTAGCTATGTCTGAATATGTACAACCAGATTTTCACTCAGTTTTGCAACTGTGATACAAATTTTAAGTATACAATGTATTTCTTGGGGTTCATTTACTATCAGAAAAATACCAAATCCTGAAATGTGAAGCTAAACAAAGGACAATGAAGAGACTAACATGTGAATTTTTCTTGTAGAAGATTATGTCTCTACTTTCTTACCTAGTCTCATTCTATTCTGTCCCAATTTTTTCCATCTAGTTTAAATTTTTTATATCTGTGTAGTCTTAAATTCTTTTGAGACAAAGGTATGAGAAAATTCACTAATAAAATTTTTCCTGGCGAATGAACCTAGTGATAAAAGTTCTTCTACGATAACGTAAAAGTAAATGGTTTTTGAGTCTGTACCTGAGCAACATTGCCACGATGGAGGAATGGGAGGAGAAGTGTAATAAGCAGAGAACTCTGTTCTTTGTCTTTCATAAACTTGCTGATCCTACAGAAGGAAACAAACAGGAAGATGCAAAAATTAAGAATGTTTTCCTAAGAAGTTAAACTGTAGAAAAACACTGGTGACTGTAAAATGACACAATTTTAAGACTGCAATACAAAGGTGGCTTTCAAGTATGTAAACAGGGCCCTTTCTTAATTTTCTCCAGCCTCAAACTCATAGCTACTAACACTATAGACAATTTTAACAGTGCTATACTCTGGCAATTAGTGACTTCTTATTTTGCAAAGATATAACATTGTCACCTTGCCACCACTGCATTGTGAGATGAATTTAGTGAAAGTGTTTATCGTGATTTACAATTGTACATAACTTAGAAATACAACACTTCAAAGAATTTTCCAGAAGAGTCTAATGTGGCTTTCTTTGGATGTAGTTGAAAGTAACATAAAAAGTAAACTTTAACAATTAAACCCAGTACACATCAAATTAAAACTTGAGATAGAATCACTTTTTCACTAGGGTTTTCTAGCCTTGCCCTTACAAAAATCAATTATACATTGCTAGTTCTATGACCAAGCAGACTCCTTTAAAAGCCTTCCAAGATCTCAACTCTCAAAAAGAAAAAAAAAAAAAACAATCTGTCCTTTCAAGTTAATTATTTTTATCAATTAAACTAAAGGACAAAAACAAAAGGATATGATCTCACAAAACTCAAAGCCTCAATTAAAATATGCAAAGGCTAAATAAACAAACCTACCAAGTCTAATTAGGTCTTTGAAGTCTGTTGTCTTTTAAGATAAATAAATAAATGCAGATGTCATAAAAGGTTTCTGGCAATTATAGCAGCAGAGAAACAATTACTATCAACTTAAAAGGAGAAAACATTTAAAACACTGATATCTTACTTTTTTTGATGATGGTGATTGAACCTAGAGCTTTGTACAAGCTAAGCACATGCTCTTCCACTGACCTACATTCCCAGACTTTGGAATATTTCCCTCTCTCCCCCACTTTTACAGAGACTGAATTAGCACTATTAAAATTTATTTTAATTTGTCCAAAAGCAAAAAAAAAGAAAATGAAAAGCAAGATAAAGTTCCTTAAAAGTTAAAAGCATGTATGGTACTATTACCTTCAATTACCAATATGTCACTTACTTTGAAAGAATGCCAAGTTCCTTACTGACTTGTGCCCTGTTCTTTTTCTTCTTCACCTTTTCTGCACTTATTGTGCTTTTGCTGAGATACTGAAGAATTGCAGGTACATGAGGTAGAATTAATCTTCCTCCTACAGTGATAGGCTCTGGAACACAGTAATTATTTTGATTTTAATAAGCTCTCTCTCTCTCTCTCTCTCTCTTTTTTGTTGGTTATGGGGCTTGAACTCTAGGCCTGGGTGCTGTCCCTGAGTTCTTCAGCTCAAGGAGAGCTTCTACCACTTAAGCCACTGCATCACTTCCAGTTTTCTGTTGGTTAATTGGAGATACGAGTCTTATGGACTTTCCTGCCTGGGCTGGGTTTGAACTATGATCCTCCTATCTCAGCCTCTTGAGTAGCTAGGATTATAGGCTTGAGCCACTGGCACCCAGCTTAATAAAGTCTCTTAATGGATTATTATACAGTATCTTGTTGATGAAAGTACTCAACTACTAACAAGCATTTAAATTTCAACCATAAACATAAAGTAACTTTCTTACTCAAAAGATTACATGGTCCCCTATGACCCAGCAATCCCACTTTTGCGCATTTACCCAAATGATCACAAACAAGACCATACTAAAGCTACCAGCCCAACTATGTTTATTGCAGCATTATTTACCATAGCTAAGATATGGAACCAACCCAGATGTCCCTCAGTAGATGAATGGATCAAGAAAATGTGGTATATATACACTGTAGAATTCTATGCCTCCACCAGAAAGAATGACACTGCCCCATTTGTTAGGAAATGGAAAGACTTGGAAAAAATTATATTAAGAGAAGTAAGCCATGCTAAAGAAACATAGGTCCCATGGTTTCCCTTATTTGCAATAACTAGTATATGTCTGAGACAAGCAGAAAAGGTCAGATAAGATGATGTTAGGTAAAATGATCCCCAAGATAAGGACTCAAGTGGTTTTTTCTTTCTTGCTATTGTTTCTAACGTATTTATAAGGTGATTTTTTTGTTGCTTTGTATTTCCCTTCCCCACGGTATAACCCGTTTTCACTGTATTTGATGTTGGTATAATTTGTGGAGGGGAAGGGAAAAAAACAAATTGTTTAAATAGGGATA